GGGGGGGGGGGGGGTTGATTAACACATAGAACTTTATATACAAAAGGGAAATCCAATTAATCTATTTAGGGGCGGAGCCCATATCAGAAAGAAGATTGTGGATGAACTTTCTATTTAACATGATCAAAAGCTTTTTCTATATCCAACTTGCATAAGATGTCCGGTCTCCCTTGTCTGAACCTACTGTCAACACATTTGTTAGCAACGAGAGCAAAAGCCTGATATTTTTGAGTGGAGAAGAGTAGGGATGCATGCTCATTATTCATAGATCGCATGCCACTGGCCATCGGGGTTTCTCAGGTATAAAGAAAAGTAGGGGAAGGTTGAACAAGTTTATCTTATTGTCCTGCCAAAGTTAGGGCCAAACTGCATTTCTTAGCTCATTTTCGCTTTACCTTTAATAAATAGTTAGATAGTGTCGTTCATCTGGTGAGGGGAACTGGTCATTGCCTCTTCTTTTACATTTACATTATATTAAGGAAAACTTCATTGTCACCAGGATCAATCCATGTCCTAGGACGTAGATTTGGTAGTGCATAGCAGAGGCTATCACAAAAAAGCTAATAGTCCAATCCCACTTCTGACACTTAATTAGAAGAAGCTTAACAGTCTTTAGTTTCTCAATAATACATTTGCTATTTGGAGATTTATTATCCTTTCCTTTCATTTGGCAAGAGATTAGCTTAATAATATTGGAGCATAAATAGAAAAGAACAGTATACATGTAACAGTTGGGAACCAGTTGAGTTTATGAAGGGCTTATAGATTTGAAAAAGTGTTTTATTTATTGATATCAATGCCTTTTAACCTGAGCCGAGGGTCTATTGGAAATAGCCTCTCTACCTTCACAAGGTAGGGGTAAGGCTGCGTACACACTACCCTCCCCCGACCCCACTTGTGGGATTACACTGGGTTTGTTGTTGTTGTAATATCTTTTGAGTTCTTTTTTCCATCTTGAGGAGGGATGGCGAAAGATAAAGAATCTGCAGCGCTGAATAGAGAGGAGTTAAAGCTCCTAGAGCAGCTTAGATGTTGTGTTGGTCATGTAAGAAGCGGAACCAAGTGAGTTTTGAAAGTCACAGTTCCAATGAAGTTTATACAGAGCTGGCAAAAGGCTCTCGGCAGTCGGCACTGATAGGTGAAAAATTAGGTGTCAGGATCGTTTTTTCATATTTTGTGTGTGTAAAATGTGGTGGTTTTCATTAAGTTCTTGTTTAGTTGAGGTGTGCTTTCATGGGTCAGAAGGTCCTTTTGATTCTATTGCTGTGTTGCTTCTATTATGTTGGAAATGACTGTCTTACATTTACTTGATTTTTGCACCTGCTTTGAAATGCCCTGCTGATTAATCTCTTTTTACAGGTCAGTAAGAAAGATAGTAAATCTAGATGATCATATTGCCTTGGCCTGTGCTGGCCTGAAAGCAGATGCCCGAGTCCTCGTAAATCGGGCACGTATCGAGTGTCAGAGTCATAGGCTTACAGTTGAGGATCCAGTTACCGTTGAGTACATAACACGTTACATTGCTGGTCTTCAGCAAAAGTACACTCAAAGTGGCGGTGTTAGGCCATTTGGTCTTTCAACCTTGATCATCGGTTTTGATCCTTACACTGGTGTCCCTTCACTTTATCAAACAGATCCATCTGGAACATTCTCAGCATGGAAAGCCAATGCAACAGGGAGAAACTCCAACTCTCTCCGGGAGTTCTTGGAGAAAAATTACAAAGAAACATCTGGCCAGGAAACTGTGAAACTTGCAATACGTGCTTTGCTTGAAGTAAGTCACCTCTCATTTGGTTTTTGTTTACTGCTATTGTCAAACATCCTTTTTCCGGCTGTTTTCTTTAGCTAGACAAAGAGTTAGTAAGAGGGATCTTGAACTAAGATATAGATCCTAGAAGCTAAAAGGCTACAAAAGTTATATGATAGGTCGATCTTTTTATTGGAAAACTACGTCCTTGAGCTCGAGGATTATCTTTATCTGTTATGGAGAAATAGTCTTTATTCATCTTCGTAGTGTTATTAAACAATCGTTTCGTTACTTAAAGTGATGAAGCGATGCAAAGTGCGGGGTTATCGCTTCATGGCTGAAGCCATGTGCTTCAGATAATGATGCAAAGTGATCCAAACGAAAAGTAGATGCTTTGATTAAAATGTTTACTCATTAAAAGATAATTTGCTAATGCGTTATACTGTATGTTGTTTGACATCTAATTTACTTCTCTTCAACATAGGAGTATAAACTTGTTTTTCTTTATGTCAATTTGAAATTAAATCCTCAGAAGATAGGGGATCATTACCCCTCTCTACTCCTTTCTAATACGAATATCAAATCGAAGTCAAGAAGAGCAAGGAGAAAGAAGATATCATGAAATTAGGAGAATGTGTCTTTTGCGACAGCCGACAGCCTGTCATATTGATTTAAATTTTTGTTTATCGTGATTTTCCGGGATGTCTTATCTTACGGAATGTTGGACAACAATTAGGTAGGGGAGCTGACTTTTTTAGAGGTGCTATGCTGAGACTTTACATCATTTCAGAATGTTGGAGCAGTGAAAACAAAGATACTCAGACATATATTAGTTTCAAATGAACTTATCATTTTTCTTAAACTTATAAAAAGAAATAGATTAGTGATAGAAATCGTGTGGCACGGATACGGATATAAGCGTATTATCTGATCTAACATAGATACGAACATGCAAAGTTCTGTAGAATTTGGAGGATGTGATATCATCCGGACACTACACACTAGATCATTTTATTTAGATTTCTATATAGCCTAAATACAGATGCTACCTATGTGAAAAGGATTTATTAGAGTCAGTAAATCACCGTTTCGTACAATTTCAGCTGCCAGGGAACTGTAGAGTATATTCTTACATCTGTACAATAGTAAATGGTGTTTCCAGGGGATATTGAACAAGTGTTTTGCAACTGGAGGGATTGGAAGACACAGAAAACCACTAGAAGATATGGAACTCAATTCCGATAACTATATTTTGGGTGCTATGGAATAAAAGAAACAAGAGTTTCTCTGCAACAGCTGAAATATGCTTATACTTTTTGCTTGTTTGGTCCAAACTTGAAGTTGTAAATAATACAAATCAGCATTTAGGTCACATTTTTCTTATATAAGTATCCTAACTCACAGGTGTGACTTGAGCCCATTCACGTAGTTTATAGTGGATTACTGTTGACTGAATAATATTGTGATAGCGTCCTTCAGGCAGTTCTTCGCCTAGGATGTGTGCTTTTGGGTAGACTATGCTGAAAGTTGATTTGTCTTCCCTGCACCAGGTTGTTGAGAGCGGCGGAAAGAATATTGAAGTTGCTGTCATGACAAAAGAGCATGGGCTTAAGCAACTTGAGGAAGCTGAGATTGATGCCGTTGTTGCTGAGATTGAGGCAGAGAAAGCAGCTGCAGAAGCTGCAAAAAAGGCTCTTCCAAAAGAAACCTAGTTCTGCCGAAATTCTTATTTGAAAATGTTTCTGAATTTTTACTGGTTGCTCTATTCAACTTCTAAAGACTGATCTTGTTGTCAGTCGAGACCTGTATTGTGGCTAAACTTTTTGTTATAGTGAGAGTCGTCATCTTCTATCACTGATTATATACTGGTCATGAAATGTTGCTTAAGATGTACGCACTTGTTTACATTGCTTGATGGTTTAGCTATGGAATGTGGTAGTTCCACAGTTCTTTTGTTCTTTCTTTTTCAGCACCAAAACTTTGATGGTATTTTTAATTATAATAATGCCTGATCGAGAGCTAAAGGTTATAAAGTATATCTGGCAGAGAAGGAAATATCATGAAAAGAAGAAATGTCGTAACTACTGAAACACGAGCGAAAATGCTTCGACATGATATTTATGGAAGATATGTACTTCACAGCTGCCGGATGTAGTGATTCCCAATTAGGAATAGTCATGGAAATGAACTAAGAAAGCAAAGAAAAGAAAACAGAGAAAAACAGGAAGATAAAATTGATTTCTCATTCAACATAACTAAACAAAACAGGGAATACACGGTATTAAACAACTAGTAGCCTAACAAACTGGACACGTGTCGACCAACAAAAGTGGACATCTTTAGGTACTAAAATGTGAATAACAACAGGATTCAACTAACATAAAATAAACTAAGGACACCACATAATAAAACCAAAAATCTTCATTTAAAAACCCCTAAACTTAGACCATATTCGTAACAATCCATCCCCCTTAAAACAACCTTGTCCTCAAGGTTGGAGATATGGACCGGTGAAGCCATAAAACCCAAACCAAGTCACTCACAGTTCCAAAAACAGCAACTAATATACCATGGATGGCAGCAAGAATGAGTCTGGTAAGATTGACACTAACATCAACAGCCTTGGTGAGCTTACCACCTCTAGATATGACAGAATAATACATAGAAGAGTAAGTTACCATTCCACCAGTTAGAGTAGTATCTTGAACCAACAGTAGGGAATCAAAATTATCATCAAACCCATCACTATCAAGATGTATAACAACAGAAATAAACAACCCAACGACATCATTAGTGAACTCACGAACTGATCCAGTAATAGTATTTCCATTTCCAAGATAAAAGTCCAGAGAGATATTGTGTCTCTTTGAATTTTCAATTCGCTCATCAACAAATGTTAAATATGTTCTCCAAGGTAGAGCACTATGCCACCATAAGTATACTTCTCCAAGAGAAGAAACAACATCACCCAAGCACGAAAAGCAGCTACATGCATATGTTGTTGCAGCACAACCCAACAACCTTGAGAAAGATGAGTTTTCCTCCTTTGCAACCTTAAACTATGATCAATTGTCAAATGGACCAAGAAAAACCAAGAGACATATGGAATAAAAGTCAATTGCCTTCCACCAAATTTCCTCAGATCAGTGAGATCTTCACCATATCCTAATTTTGCTTGATGGAAAGCTAGAAAACCATTATGGTCACTGCTTATCCAATAATCAGGACCATGTATCCAAATCTCTATATAAATAACAACCACATCACTGACAGGAGCTTTAATAACAAGAAGCATTTTAGTACGTCACCAGGTTGAATCAATAAAGCATTCACTTCTCCTTGTAACAAATAAAGCTTTTTGATAGCACATGATGCCTTTCCTTTAGTAAGAGCTTTCAAGGATTTTCCCAGAAGTACATATATGATCAACAAGGCACCTTTTTCAAGGTAAGTTAGGCACCATAATCCAGAAATTCACCATAAAGTAGTACACCAAAAACAAGCTGGACAGTAGTCACTAAAGCCCACTATATCCAGTCACCTATTATGAAGGGACTCAAAATAAATCCAGTCCACAAATCCTGTTAACAATCAAAATAATTACAAAATTTTAATTGGAAAACCACTTCTTGATGATAGGAGCAGTATTGACAATCTACATGAAGAGCACATGGTTTTGAAAAAAAAAGAAAATGAAAATACTAAAGACTCTAAACACTTGCATGAACCAAAAATTACAGACATTACAAGTGTCAGTAACGTGGCAAAAAATGCTTGCCACACTAATAGAGTTAATCCCACGCTTAACCAAAATAATTTGAAAAATAACTTACTAAGCACCAACCGGACACACCAAGAGTACTTCAATTACCCTACCAATAATGATAACCCTACTACTATTGACTTAACCAATAATAATATGCAAAACACCTTCTTCCAACCAACCAAAAATCCAACACATGGAAGATAATACTAGCTAAGTGGCAGAGGCCATATCCATGCAAGATTTGGATAAAAACCTTACGCTACTCCCCTCAAATCCCATGCAAATAGAGCCCATCATTACAATCTCTTCCAATTTCGTAGACAATAGCCTCAATATAAAACAAGAAAACCACCAAAATGCCAAGAGTTTCAGTAACACTAAGAAAGAGGTACATGTTCATCCAACTTTGCCATTTCTCTCGACAACAAACTATGAACAATCTTCCACCCCTACCTCCTCACTTCCCCTCCAATCCAGTGATATATGCCCAGCCACCAAATCCACCGAATCACCAACCACAATCGTGGGTGAAATTAGGTCTCTTAGGCCATGCAATCTCCTTCAATCTGTAGATCAATGGACATGAATCCATACTGATAATCCAAAATACTCACTATCTTGCACAACTAATCTCGGAGGGAATGAACCTAACAATGAACAACTATATAAACCAAATGTGGATGAACAACATCCTACAACCACTTGCACCCTCTTTGAACCAAAACCTAGTTCACACCATGCAATACATGTGGAATATACCAAGCAGCTCCAGTCAACAGATTCCACAAAATCCACCTCTAAACCTCCCTTTCTTTGCACCGGAGAACTAACATTAGTGAATCCAATCTTCACCCAATGGACTGCACAACACAGGGAAAACCAAACGATGGCTCCACAAGTAGATCCAATGGAAGATCAAGCTCAACCACCAAACATGCAAAATCAGGAAGGAATTCAGGAGGAGGAAGAGGACATCATGCAACACTTGGGTGAACCATCAGTAGCATTTTTAAGCCTAAGCGAGGTAAAAATACTAATATTCAAGGAGATGCTAGACATGAAATCTATCTTCAGCTGCCAAGTGCACTCTACAAGTGCTCACTGGACATAAGGCCCCCACAGGACCCTACAGTGGGGAAGAATCCCTCAGGAGGAATTCCAACAACAACCTAATTAATAACCCAATGATGAACCAACCAAACAATTTTATAATATGGAACGTTAGAGGAGCTAATAACGACAACTTTAGGAGTAACTTTAGAGAGCTAATGGACACCCATAGGCCATGCCTAGTTGCTTTGTTGGAAACCAAAATGGCAAGTCACACACCCATTCCGGAGGATTTCAACTTCACTGAGATGATTGGAGTCCCTGCTGTTGGCCAAGCTGGTGGTTTAATTATCTTGTGGAACCATGACATGGTGACCGTCAACAACTTCACTAGAAAGGGGCAGAAAATCCATGCAACGATTGAGGTAAAGCCTAAAAAACTCGCTTGACTTTTTAGTGCAATTTATGCTAGTAATGACATACTAGATAGGAATTTGTTATGGAATAACTCAAGTAATATTAGTAATAATTATAAAGGACCTTGGTTAATGGGTGGTGATTTTAATAAAATTATTGACTCTATGGATAATTTTGGTGGTAGGCATATAAATCAAAGACGTGCCAACTCTCTTATAGAATGCCTAAGTTATTGTAACCTAGTAGACTTAAAGTTTAAAGGCTGTAAATACACTTGGTCTAACCACCGTAAAAGGAAAAATGGTTTAATCATGGAAAGATTGGATATGGTGTATTCGAATGAGGACTGGCTAAATGCGTTTCCTAATGTTAACATAACCCACCTCCCCAAAACTCATTCGGACCATAATCCTATCCTTATCTATCTTAATAATAAAATTAACATGAATCAAGACAGACCATTTATAGGAGGCACAAATTTCTTTAAAAATAATGTTATAGAATGGAAAAAGAAAACTTTTGGCAATATCTTTGCCAAGAAAAGCAAAATTATAAGCAGAATCGATGGAATCCAGAATTCCCCTAGTTATGACACTAGCAACTACCTTAGGAATCTTGAACAAACGCTCATTGAAGACAGGGGCGGCTCAACAGATCTCGGGGCCTAAGGCGAAACCATATTCGAAGGCCCTTAATCCCAGTATAATCCCACTAGTGGGATCTGGGGAGGGTAGTTTGTACGTAGACCTTACCCCTACCCTGGAGTAGAGAAGCTATTTTCAATAGACCCTTGGCTCCCTCTCTCCAAGAACTCCCCACCTTGCTCTTGGGGTGACTCGAACTCACAATCTCTTGGTTGGAAGTGGAGAGTGCTCACCACTAGAGCAACCCACTCTTGTCAAATATACTAATTAATAAGGGAAGAAAATTATCATGATTTATAAATCTATTGTATAAAATAACCTCAATCAAGTAACAAAAAAATACTGTAACACTTTTTTTATTCTAATTATTTATATAAATTATATAATATATAATAGTAACAATAATAATAAGAATTTAAAATAAATTTGGGGGCCTTCAAAATTTGGGGGCCTAAGGCAATAGCCTCACTACCCAAAGCCTTAGAGCCGCCCCTGATTGAAGATTATAATACCATCCTGAAACAGGAGGAAGACTATTGGAAATTAAGATCTAGGGTAACTTGGCTAAACGATGGCGATGTTAATACAAAAATATTTCATATTAAGGCTTCTAACAGAAGAAGGAAAAACAACATTGTCTTCTTCAAAGATGATTATGGGAATTGGATAGATGACCAAATTTCTCTAATGAACCATACAAGGAATTATTTCTTAAACATTTTTATAACCTCCCATGTAAAAACTGATTGGCCGATTATCAAAAGTGACAAGGAAAGCTTTCATAATCTTGACCTCTCGAGCCTTGATAATCCCTTAAGAAATCATGAAATAAGAAATTCTCTCTTCTCCTTTAAACCATACAAAGCCCCAGGTCCGGACGTGTTGCATCATTTTTTCTTCCAAAAATATTGGCACATTATAGGAAGCAAGGTCATAAATTTGTGCCAAAACATTTTTCAAACAAAAACAATGCCACCAGACATCAATAACACTTACCTATGCCTAATCCCCAAATTCAATAATGCAAACAATCTTAAGAACTTTCGGACTATTAGCCTTTGTAACACCATCTACAAGGTTATAACAAAAATCATTGCCAATCGAATCAAGCTCTTCCTACAACATCTAATCAACATAAAACAATCTAGCTTTATAAAAAATAGGCGGGCTAGTGGTAATGCTATCATTATCGAAGTGATGAAGAAGTTCAACCCATCAATTGGCAGGCAGAGCTTAATCCTTAAGATTGATTTGAAAAAGGCTTTCGATAAACTAGAATGGTCTTACATTTACAAAACTTTAAAATATTTTAAATTCCCTCCAAATATTTCTTCTCTAATTCTTAGCTGCATCACTACTAGTACAATATCATTCTAGTAAACGGAAACAAAACAAAAGAATTCACCCCTACAAGGGGCATAAGACAAGGCGACCCATGTCCCCATACTTATTCATCTTATGCATGGATATGCTCTCCAAAAATATTGATAATCAAGTAGACATAAGAAATTGGGATCCTATTAAATTAAATCCTAGAAGCCCCCTTCCCCTATCCCATCTATTCTTTGCAGATGATTTAACTCTAATGGGGCAGGTAAATAAAAAAACAATTCACACAATTTGGAGGAGCATGGAAAGTTTTTATAACTATTATGGGCTGAATATCAATAGAGAAAAATCAAAGCTTATTGTCTTCAAGAATTGTAATGACTCAACCAAAAACCTTGCTACGAGTATCTTTGATATACGAATTAGTAATAATTTTGGAATATACTTAGGATTCTTAATACTAAATAATAGACCTAAGCACAAGGATTATCAATTATTGATTGGTAATATGAGAGCAAGGCTAAACAATTGGAATGCTAGGTGGTTAAGCATGGCCGGTAGAAGCACCTTCCATTCCAAATCACCTCATGCAAACATCCCTTCTACCTAACAAAACACTAAAAGAAATAGACAAAATACAAAGGGACTTCTTATGGGGTACTACTGTGGAAATGAAAAAACTTCACTTAATTAAGTGGGACTAGAACTAAAGATCAGGGTGGCCTAGGTATTAAAAAAGCTAAGTCAAAAAACTTAGCTCTATTAACCAGCCTGGCTTGGAGAATCCTTAACAACCCATCATCTCTTTGGGCAAAAGTCCTAATTAGTAAATACGGGAAGACTAAAAACACTAAGAGTGGTTCACATACTTGGAATAGTCTCCTAAAAGGATGGTCTTTTTGCAACAAGGGCATTAGGTGGACAGTAAATCAATACTCTAATTCAAACATTTGGGACACAAATTGGATTCCAAATATTACCAACCTTAGGAGCAATATTACTGGCCCATTAACAATGAACGAGAGCAGTTTGAGAATTAAAGACATCTGTGATAAAGGATCTTGGGACCTGGGGAAAATCTCCTTTGAATTCCCTCAAAACATTATCACTAACATTAATGCCCTAACTCCTAACAAGCATGTTAGATCTCCCAATAATCTCCTATGGAGTATAAATCCTAGTGGCATATTTTCTACAAGTTCTTGCTACAAGTTAATTGACGATCAAGTTTCCCCTAACAACAACTTCAATTGGATATGGGACTTAAAATGCCCCAACAAAATTTAGTTCTTTATGTGGAAATGCTACCATAGCAGACTTTCAAGTAGGGCTTACCTTAGTAAAATTGGTGTTAATATTGACCCCAATTGCCCAATATGCAAGAACACAACAATAGCCCATATCTTCTGGAAATGTAACATTGCAAAATCATATTGGGAATTAATGGGATGGAATATAAATCCTCAAACAACTACAACACACTGGGTTGCCAGGCTCAAAAATGCCAATATCAACATAAAAAATTAAGTACGTAACATGGGAAGATCTATTTCCATTCACCTTGTGGACTATATGGAACAATAGAAACCATAATAACCAAAACAATACCAATAACCATATTAATATAAAAAGAATTTTTGACCAAGCTATTGAATATAAACTATTAACTTCTAGTCGTACTATTAATAACTTTAAAAGATAATTAGCATGAACTGGCAGGCTCCTCCAAAGGGTTGGTATAAAATCAATATTGATGGTGCTTTAAAAGCGATAGCCTACAGGGAGGAATTAGCGGAGCCATCCGAAACAGCAAGGGCCAGTGGAAAATGGGATACCACAAGAAAACACATGCAACAACGCCAATTCAAGTAGAATTACAAGTACTGCAGCAGGCACTTCAACACATTATCAAGGAAAAAATGTTCCCAATCGGAGTGGAGACAGACGCCACTGAGATTATTAGATTTCTACATGAGGATTATCCAACTTACAATGATTTAATCTATGACTGCAGGTGGTTAATAGAGAAGGCAATGCAAATGGGGGAGATCGTGGTGAAGCATAACTTTCGTGAAGGAAATAGTGTGGCACATCTTTTGGCAAAGGTAGCTCTTATATAGCCTGGCTATAATAAATTGTGTACTTTTGTTTTACTTCCTGAACCAGTGATAGATGCCTATCACAAAGATCAGGAAGGTTTTGTTTGGGTAAGGAAAGTTTCGAACATTCTGTGTTGTAAGTTGGCTGACTTAGGTAATGACAATGCCCTAAGAGGCATAACTATAGCCCATCGAGGCACTTGTAATGACGGTAGTTCGCTACCGCTCGTACTCTAGTTATTATAAATAAATAAATATCTTTTATGCTTAAAAAAAAGGATAAGCTAGTGGCTATAATAATTATTTTAAATATAAAAAAAATGTGTTAATCCCTTAGTCTAGTAAATACTCTATTTTAAGTCGTTAGAGATCTTAACTCTAGCAATATTTTAAACTTAGGTAACTTTAATTTGAAAACAAAAAGGAAACAATAACAAACAGATCAGAAACTAATTATTACATTATTAGAATTCTTAGTTAAATAATTGGTTAAGGGGGATATGATTGTCGTTATCTTGGATGGCAGCTACATGGATACATAATAAATCATGGAAAAAGAAAATTTATTAATTTTTCATAATTCAAAAAGAGATGAGAAATAAAATGAAAATGGAAAATATGTAAAAAGGGAAAAATAATGAATCACATCTTCCCATGAAAAAATATTGAAGCCAACTTTTCTCGAGAGTTCTCTTTCTCTTCCATTTTCTTTTCATCTTCAACCACGCAAAACACTGACGCCACCACCAGCGGCAACCGAAACACTATTGTCTTCGGAAGGCATTGAAGCGACCCTATTTACTGTCAAATCTTTGTCGGCGTAGTCGAAGGCCTTGAAAAGTCATCCTGCTGAGCATAAATCGCTAAGCACGTACATCTGTGTCGACTATTTACACGCATAATATCATTCTCATATCAGATTTCTAAAATCTTCAAACCTTAAATCGAGACATGGCGTAAATCTCGATATATGGAGTGAACAAAATCATGGTGTGATTCTTGTATTGGAATATGCCCTTATATAAGTCCAGAAAATTTTTCAGACATTTATGCAGGTAATTACAAGTCCGTTATAAAATTAAGAATACTCCATCCGGTCCACAATAAGTGATTTTTTTGGTTATTTTCGCACAAATTAAGAAATTCACCTTTTAACATTAATTAATAATGAAATTGACCATATTAACTTCTACTATCTCTTCACATAAACAATCATAACACATACTCCAATATTATTTACTCCAAGGGTAGCGTAGGAAAGAAGAGTGGTGCCTTAGCTCATGGGTGTAAAAACTTTAAAAATAATTAATTCATTCTTAAAATCTGAAAAAATTACTTATTTTGGACCACAAAAAAGATTAAAAATTTACTTATTGTGGACCAAGCAGAAAATTTTTCAAACACTTATAGAGGTAATTATAATACTCCGTTACAAAGAGAGACTTAAGGGGAAGTTACGAAGAAAGATGAATCGGTACAACAATGAGGCGTCAAATAGTAGGATAGCATTAATGATAACTAATTATGGTACAATTATTTTTTTGCATAACTATTTTTTAAGCAAAAAACATGAACAAAAAAATTGAGAGAAAAGATAAATGATAAAACTGGCCGAGAGGTATCATGTCAGCATCTTTTAGCACTCTTTTATATATATACTAGTGAATTGATAGTAAAAGACCTTATTGATTTTTGTAGCTTCTTTTCAAGTGCGTCCCATAATTCTTTTGAAGTATTCATCGCACTGTACACATTGTACAAGTCATCCTCTAAAGCACTTAAGATATAGCCTTTGCAAAAAAAATCTGCCTGCTTCCACGCCTCAACAATCATGAATTTCTCGTTGTCCGGCATGTACGCAGCAGGCACTGGAGGTTCTTCACTAGTGAATTTCTGCATACCAAGTGTGGTATGCCAGAAGAACACCCTTTGCTGCCATCCTTTGAAGTTGGCTCCGGAAAATTTTCCCGATTTCTCTGCCGGTGAAACAGCAGTCCGGCTTGACGAGGCTATCGTCGTTGACGCAACAGTCGTAGAAGAATTTCCGTTATCAGTTGCCATTTCTCACTATAAACAACAGAAGAGTTCAATTAATGGCAAAATCAGAACAGTAAACAATACTGTTATTAATAAAAAAACATATAATAAATAAAATCGAAGTTTTTATATACTATTTCACAGAAAAACGATGAAGTTTTTATGTTCTTCAAATCGTTTTATGAATTTCAATACTCTGATGAAGTTTTTTTATATCTTCAAATCAGAATAGTAAAATTCAGAAGGAGTAGAAAATCACACAGGTTTTAATCTCAACACACAAAATACAGAATATAATAAAATAATTTCCTTAAGATTATTATAAATCTGTATTGCTGTAATAAACAATTAAATCATTAAACTTTCTGAAATATATAAACAAAACAGAAAGTTAGTAACACTTGTTTAAAGAAATAATTTCTGGAAAAACAGTGTAGGAATAAATCGAGCCCACTGAATACACAGTGTGTCCTTAAGGAAATTACTCTCCTCAAGTACCCGAGGTGCTGGAACATATCCTCCTAGGATAGAACGATTTAACTCACCGGAGTGTTGGTACCAAAACGCTTCAGAGGTCATGGGTTATTTCGGATTGAATTTTTCGTTAATTATTTAATTAATTAATTAAATAATTGAAAGGAATTTTGTCCAAAAAGTTTAATCAATCAAAAGCCGGAGCCGGAGTCGGAGCCGAGCCGAGCGAGCGAGCGACGACGACGCGAGGCTTGCCTTCTTCTTTAACTCTTTAAGAGCTAGAAGAAGAGCAATTATATATATATATATACCCATCAAAAGCCTTTTCTTCCTCCAATATGGGACAATGTCCCTTTGCCAAGGAGGGAAACTCAAATATTTCATATTCCCTCCATTTCTTATTCACTCTCTTTAAGCTACACAAGCTTAAAATTCCTAAGACATATCAGTTTTGGACTCTTTCCTTATGTGTTCAACTTCTTTTCGAACATTGTTACTTTTGATACAGGGTTGTGATTCTTTTAGCAAAATAAAAATAGGTGCGTAATAGGTTTTATGTGAGTGTAATTTTACCTATTTTGTGTTTAAGGTGTTGTATTGATATGTTTTTAGCGGATTCTGATAAATTCTATTTTGTTGTTCACTTCTTCCTATTTTGTTCTCTAACCGGTATGAAATTTGTTGAATTGAGAAAGCAAGTTTGTGAGGCTCCAAGTTTGTCTCGATACTAGAGTTTCTGATATCAGTTATTTTCTATTTCAATGAAAGGAATTAGTATATGATAAATTTTCAATTGTCCAAAGTAGTATGTCTATGAAACTGAATCTTGAAAATTTTGTCCTCTTGTGAATTCTTTCCCCTTTTTGATGATGTTGTGTGTTAAATTTATTGGATAAGCTTTTTAGGAAATGAGAATTCTTTTTAGATTTTATGAAATTTTAGCATAGCCTTGATGATTTTGAGGAAGGAAAGGAATAGCTTTAGAATGAAAGGATTAAAATATAACTTTTGAAGGCGGGTGAAGAAAAGTTTGATAGTTTTTTGATATATAACTTTTGAAGTCGTGACATCTTCCGTGTTCGTCCTCGAACGTATCAAGATCCATTCTGAAGTCATCAAATCACTGAGTAAACTTACCGTACCTACACTCGCGGGTGATCCCACGTCATCCCAATCCACATAAGCCCGACAACACTGTCTCAACTGAAATTTATACCTTTAACTCGCACTGATATCCCTAGAATCAAATTTCTCATTATCCAATCATTCCCAAAAGACCTGATTCCCACATCAATACACGATATCAGCCTCAACTAGCTACAACAACTTATGCCTACGCCCATAAGGTACAGCCACACGACGTAGCACATCACATATATGCCATTAACAACAACTCTAGCCCAATAACTGCCCATAATCAAATCCAACACCGACAATTAGCCTCATAACCGCTAGAACCTTGTTTCAATCCTTCTCAACACTGACAACGATGCAAGAAACATGAAGACATCATAACTATACACCTGAATCAACAAGTCACATCTAACGCCACCTGAGCACACACATCGTAAGCTAAAACCCAATAAGCACAACGTGAATACGACTAAATATGAAAGGAAAAACACATAAGAGAACTATCAAACAAGCTCGACAGGCACCACTCCCTATCAGTATCATACAACAAATCAATTTCACAAGGGAGAATCAAAACATATGAACTAATCGCAAGGATCTTATCTTTATATAACTCCACCGCGGCACGCATCCCGGTTCAAACACATCGAATCAGATGAAACCGCGAGGGTCTCAACTTATTTTTCATGACCTTATTGCTGAAGGTATGGTCGTGAATGAAGCATTTCAAGTGG